GGTGGAAGAACGTAACCGCATTTCAATATCAAGACATTTCCACACGTAATTGAGCTGCGTTCTGTGCAGACAGGGCATTTTTTGGTTGCAGTGATTCAGAAACTCCACTGCTAATTTATATTTTGGAGAGGGAACTATCGGGTGAGTTTTCTAAGAGTCTCCGTTTTCAGCGTTGTGGAATCATAAAGAAAAGCCAGTTATAATTTCGACGAATTTCATACATTTGCTTTAATTATAGCGCATAAAAGATTCTGAAACACCACAACCAAGAAATGCGGGCACCCAGTGCTTCAATTTTGTCTTCATTGGGCGGGTTTTAAGGTTTTCTGACAGAAAATGTCAAATCTATGGATGGACCAGTCACAAGTGTCAATCTTTTCGTTCCACTGTCTTACTTGGGCGCTCAAAAAATTAAACATTTCGGCCGGAATACCGACTTTAATTATGTTGGAGAGATTTTGCAATTACACGGTAAAAAATCGCAATGGACAATTCGCACGAACACGTTTTATTGCTTCATAATATGAGAGTGCTAAATGAGCTGAATTTGCGATATTTTCATACTTTTTTAGATGGGAAATTGTAGAAAAATAGATTCAAAAGTGATAAAATGTGTCGTCTTATGACGTTATTTGGCGACTTTTTCTAAGTATTTTAGCAAATAAGGTTTTTCTTTCATATTTCCTCCGATGGTTTACTCCTTAACATGGCCTTCACCAATTTTCAGACACCTGCAAATTGTTGCTCAAACATTGCGTTTCAGAATCGCAACTTCATTACGATATTTTTGTTGTACCTTGCCACGCGCACGTTTCAAAAAATCGAGCCATTCCTTGGGATGCAATACGCTTAAAGTTTACTTGGCTTTCAAGAAAAGCGCGCGTCTAAAGCTCAATTTTGAAGCAGCGAGGCAATTCTGGCGTAAGGGATGAGACTGGAAAGTTGGATTCGGCAATGATACCAAACTTCTCTCTCGCATTCTTCGCGCCAGCCCTGAACTCAACCCTCTCCCGCCCCCACCCCCACCTCCCACCACGCCTGTGGCATCCCCGTCTTGGAACATTTCAACTACTTTGGATTCTTGAGGATCTCGAATCTTAAATCGCGCATTCCTGCCACTACGACACGCGACAATGGGGTTATTTTATCAACAACAGCTAAACTTTGTCCAGACTCGAGATTTAGTCTGTTTACCCTTCTTTTATCTCTCGTTTTTCCCGCCTTGAGTTAATCCTAATAGCCTAATTTTTTCCCGAAAGTTTCTCGCTGATGAACTATTTATCCTCTCTGAAGATTAAGATCTTTGAGCTAATAAACTTGGGGCACGGTTGGTTTTTCATGTCGGAGACTTGGAAATTAGTGCAACCTCATATCGATGGTGAAACTGCAAAAATGCGTATTACGGTTGCGATGTTCCAAAATCACCGCTCCTATTCTGCTTTTTAAAAGGAGACCTAGCCAACATCATGGCTCGGTATTTTCACCGAATATTCATCACATGGAGAAAACAAATCACTGAAGTTTTCAAGAAACGACGTTCATTGTTTTTCATGTAAAAAATAAAGTATGACAGGAAGTCTGCATCGCCGCAAACCGATATACGTATTTCCGCAGTTACAGCATCGAATTTTCAACAAATTCAAGCATTGATCTGCATGAAGTTAGTAATATTAAATGGATTTGTATCGAGTTTGTTTTGATGGAGAAAGTGTTTTGAACTTAGAAGAAAATACAATATGGACGCCTCGAAATATTTTAAAAACAAAATAGGTAAAAATAATTTAATTTCAACATATGTTGAGAGATTTTGTCAAACAAAGAAATAACTTCGGCGATTCTTTCAATCCCTAAACCTGAGCACCTGCTAGTTTTCTATATACGTTTGCGAGAGTTGCTGGATATTTGTGTATGAGCAGTATAATTTTTGGCTCTTCGCGGGAGCAAATATTAATTCATTTATCACTGATTTTTGCCAAATTCCGAGAATGTCAGTCACACATTCTGCAAAAGCAAGAAGTGAAAAATGATACGATGCATAAAGACTCAAAATACTACTGAGGAAGTATTGAGGTCAAATGTTTTCCAGCTGAGGAATTGAATAAAAGGCGTCAATTTTCGAAATCACCATACTTACTGGTCAAAACTATCCGGGGATGGCTTATCATGCCAGGATTTAGTTCTTTGAATAAATGCATAATGAATTTCATTTTCCTAGGCTATTCAGTCAATGCAATCTAGTCACAGCGGAAGGAATGGAACATTCAGTGAGCACATACACAAGGCTTATTTATTTTAGCATGATTTGTAGACTTTCAGCTCAGATGTATAGTAAGTTAGAGTTTATATCTTCCATAAGAGACGGGTCAAGATTTAACATTTTGATGTTACACCTTTTATTTGCATATTAAGAAAGTAAAAATTTATCATGAAGATCATTTACAATGATATGTGAATTCTCAAAAGACACCATCTACGTGCACGTGCAGAGAATAGTGTGCCAATCGAATTTCATTACTTTAAATTAAGATTTTGATTCAATACACGTTCATGATTGAAGTTCAATCAAGAGCTGTTTAACAAGCAGATATATTAATCTATCAGCGGGTGGAAATACAAGCTACACCATTTTTTCTGTCAAAACATTTTTATACGAAAATTATTCACGCGAATGGACGAATAGCCAATATTTTTAGTAAGGTGTGACAGTGCAAAATGTTTCGTAGTCCCATGGGCACCCTCTAGTAGTTCAATACAAAATCGAGTAATTTGTATGTAGACGTGAAATTTCTTCGTGTCGTGGGATTCCATTTTCCTCGAAAATGTTCCGAAATATTCTCACAATATTTTGAACAATCGTAGAACGCTTAATTCGTGAAAATGAATCCAAGTCGCTGACGGAGACCAAGTAGCAAACCAATATTTACCGAGGAAACAAAGACATTCCGATATAGTTTACTATTAATTTGTAATATTTACGTAGATCTTTATCCGCATGTAGGCATTTTAGACGTCATTTGTTATTTCCAATTGACATCGTAAAAATCATCGAAACATATCAATGTATGAAAGGCAAAATAAATAATGGACAGCCGAAAATGAAATAGAAATTGAACAAAACAAAGGGAAAGAGGTATTTTCCATTCAAGTAACTTATTTTGACAGGGTTAGTTGACTTTACAGTCCAACATGTCAGCATGAAATTCCTTGAAACCAATTAATTTTGTGCGTATACGGTATTTAATGTACCGTTTATTCAAAATTGTTCAGGTTTTGGAAACTTAAAGTCTTCTCAATTCCCTTTTTCACACTCTCAAAAATCCAACTGTCTTATAAACACAATCCTTTCGTTCAAAACCTATTTGATTTCGAAGATTGGCAGAGTGTTTTAGGTACGAAAATAAACAGTCTTGTGTTCAAAAACAAACGGTCACTGGTAGAAAATGACCCTGCTAAAGGAGCTCTCGGTGAAATTTCTGTTGATTTTGTCAGGGCGCTTTCAAAAAATTGCGTCAGCTCGCGAAAATGGACCAACACAAGAACTTAAAATTTCTGAGAGTGCAGTTGTGATACAATAGTAATTTTAATTCAATAATTGTTTAGTTTTGGAAGTTTACTTCTGTAGTACGTAGTAAATCCATTTTATAAAAATTTGTGAAACCCAACCTAACGCCAGGGAACTTATATCAAACATTAACTAATTTTTAGCAACTTTAGCATGAAATTAATAAAAATAAGCTATTACAACACAGAATGTTATATTGATTCGAAATTTTTGAGATTTTTTGATCATTGAGATTCTTCACACTCCCTTCTTCACGTGGTTAACAAGTACGTTTCATTCGTTGATTGCTTCTTCTTAAAGTTCCCTCCGTAATTACATGCTACATCATTTTAAAGATAAATTTATTTCCGTAAATAAAGACGTTTCTGCCATAAGCAACAATCAGATTGGGGTATTTTGTTAAGTGCAAAGGCAAATAGTCAAATTTTGACTTGAATTGAATTTCTAATACTTCCACTGATTTTATAGGAAAAATAATTCCATGATAGGAAAGAATTCTCTGTAGAAATTTGCAACATAAAATGATAAATACACTCCTGAAAGACCCAGACGATGTCACTAGGTATGGTGCATTTTCTCAATTTTAAATCTATTTTCATCTTATTTCCCACATCAAAAAAAAAAAAATTATAAACAATACCGCGGAATCAGCTCTCAAAGCACTCTCAGATGTAGCAATAAAAATATGGGTGCAGATTTCCCATTTATTGGAAATTCGCATGTCACCGAACATCGTAAATAGTACCACAATTTTATGAGAGAACCCATAAAACTTGTTGTCCGTGTAAAATGCCTGCTTTTTGGTTATTTGCATGCGAAATTTGTGGTGGCAAGTCATTTTTCCTGAGGCACAATTTCCTCATACTTCTTTCCTACTCGTTTTTAATCGAAATACAGTTCGTCTTACATGGAGAGTTCTCCACTGGTTTATTTCCTAAGAAAGTGTGTTCTAAATTCAATTAAAATATAAAAATGCAAGTTAATACATTGGGTGCTTCCTAGGAATAAATATAATTTTCGAGGTTAGGTGGAGAATTTTTCTCTCTGTTCTACTCATGTTAAAGTAGCGATTTCAGTTTCAAAATCAGCGAACATTGTAATAAAATTTCTGAAATGTAGTAGCACTGAACATATTGGTAATTGGAGTGTAGCCGAGTGCTAGAAATAATGTAAAATTTTCTTTAAAATTTTAAATTTTAGGTCTAAGTTTGTTAAAAATGTAAGTTTTTTAAAGAAAATTTTACATTATTTCCAGCACTTGGCTCTACTCCAAACACCAATTTCAGTTTGGACAAATACCCATGGGAAAGGGTTTTAGGACCTACTGTAAAGGGACAAAAAATGAAAGGGAAAGAAAGTGTCGAAACTTGCGGTAGGAACGAAATACCCGGCACCGAAGTTTGTAAATACCGAAGAATTAATGTGATAAATCACTCACCATTACAATGGACTGATATCCTGCCGGAGTCGGGGCACGGCGGGGGGCTGGGGGCGGTGGCCCCCTCGGTGGGGCTGGAGGGCCCCCAGACGGTGGCCGGCATGGGCGACGTGCCATTGTTGACGGTGACAACGTCGATCTCCTCCTCCTCCTCTTCCAGCGCGGTCTCCACATGAGGGCTGGCGTTCTCCGTCGGCCACGGGTAGCCCTTCCACTTTTTAGCCATCAGGCACCGGGGCATCTTGCTGGGCTGTTTGAGCTTCCTCGTCGAAATCCGATTCTCGGACCACGAACTCCGACATTCGAAATCCGGGCGATCACGCGGGATCGACCGCCTTCAAAATCACACACTCAGAAACATCCCGAAATTGTTTTGAAATCGGATTCTTCGAACACGGTCCAAGCACTGGTTGAATTTTTTCGGCGTATAAAATATCCTGATTCGGTGTCCTTTCGGTGAGTTCGTCACGCACACACGTTTTAGCTAAATTTCTATCCAGGTCACACAATCATTTTCGTTTATGAGTAAATAAAAACCAAAAAATAACGACGGTTTTCCGGTTCAGATGAGGAGGGAGAATTTGATTTTTTTTTACACGCACTAGGTTACGAAAAATATTTTATACTTATTTTTGAGCCGAACTGTACAATTTTAAATTCGTGTTTTCAGGTTAGGATCCTGATAGGAATAGACACAAGTGGAGAGCGACAGAGGTTTCGGAGATTTTTTTTTTTTTTTCGAAGTCGAGAAACTAAAAAAATTCGAGTTGAAATCGAAAGGGGGGACTGACGTTTGGAAGTGCGAGAGAATTTTATAGCGAGCGCGGAAAAAAACGAAGCGTGAAAACGAACGGGGTCGACCGAAAACAAAACGAGAGGACAGAGGAAAGAAAAAAAGAAAAAAAGAGAGAAGAACACCAAGAAAGCGGCTCGGAAACCCTCCCTGGCAGGAAAGCTCTTTTTGAATTGAAACCGAAAATCGAATGCGGCTATGTTATATACGGCGTGGACGGGTAGCAGCGCGGTCTGGCGGGCGTGCGCGCGCAACATCCCTCCTATCGCTCGGGGTGGTTGTATGACACTTTAAAATATAACACCTCCACCCCTCGCCCGCCGCCGACTACCCCCTCCACCCGTTGTGACCACCCCGCTCCGCCGCATTGCTCCACCCCGCCAAGATTTATCCGACGGCCTACTGCAGCGTTCATCGTCATGGCTCACCGTTTGCTCCGTGGTTGTTGAGTCGCTGCTGCTGCACCGATGCAACGTGTTGACTGCCAGCGCCGAGCCCGGCTCCATCCATGTTCCTTGTTGCGCGCCAACTTGTTACCCCCGACGCCGCAGCCGCCGCCGCCGCCGCCAAGCAACAGACATCGATGCAACAGCGTTTCTTGTTGCGTTCCCACAGTCGATGAGCTCCAGATGACTGCTTCAGCCAATTTTCGCCGTCCAACAGCCAACGATTTTTGGATTGGTGGATGATGACGTCATCGTCCGGCCTAAGTACACTGGAAAATAAAAATTTTGGAGCTAAAGTCCGGACTTTTAAAAAAATTGACGAGAAAAATACGCTTGGTTCAATCGGATTTTTATCATAGTCGATGAGTTTCACTGGAAAAAAAAACAAACAAAAAAAACACATTGGATCTAGAGTCCAGACTCTTAAAAACATCGACAAGAAAAAATACTCTTATTGATTCAATCGGATTTTTGCTCAAATCAAGAACCAAGCCTCTTAATTTGAGCGGATTTCCTTTTGATTTAAGCAAAACTCTGATTGAATCAAGAGTATTTTTTCTTGTCAATGTTTTCAAGAGTCTGGACTATAGATCCAATTTGTTTTTTTTTTCCAGTGTTCCGGAGAGTGCTTGAGTCAATTTTCGCCGTTCAACAGCCAATGATTTTTGGATTGGTGCATGATGACGTCATCTTCCCGCCAAAGTACACTGAAAAAGAAGTTGCTTGGATCTGGAGTCAGAGATTTTAAAAAATTGACAAAAAAACTACCCTTGATTTGATCGGATTTTTGTCATAGTTGATGAGCATCCGATGAGTGCTTGAGCCAATTTTCGCCGTCCAAATTAAAAAAAATTGACTGGAAATAAAACTCTTAATTCAGTCGGATTTTCGCTTGAATTAAAAGGAAATTAGCTTGAGTCAATATAAAGCCGATTGAATCAAGAGTATTTTTTCTTGTCAAAGTTTTGAAGATTCTGGATTCTGGATTCAAGAGACTTTTTTCCAGTGTGGCGGTTATGATACTTGGCCGGAAGGTGGTGCCATCCTTCACCGATTCGAAACTCGTTGGCAATTTCGATTATGAAAAAATACTCTTGATTAAATTAGATTTTTGCTTGAGTCGAGAGCCAAGAATCGTAAGTAACGCGGATTTCCTTTTGATTCAAGAAAAATCCAATTAAATCAAGAGTATTTATCCTTGTCAAATTTTACATGAGTCGGGACCCTAGATCAAATTGACTTTTTATCCAGTGAATCCTTGATAAATGGCAATATACAGGGTGATCTAGATGAGTGCTCTAGCCAATTTTCGCCGTCCAACAACCAACGACGATTTTTGAATCGGTTTATGATGACTGCATCCTCCGGCCAAAGTTTAGAAGTGTAATCGTTGATCGATTGGAATGTACAAGATCCAAAAATCCTGCACCACCAGCATTTAGCATTACCTCGATAACTTTTAAAATAATTGAAATACCTAAGATAGTTGAGTCTTGGAATCTTGTAATTGCTCTTCGGTCAATAGGAAACAACTCTTGCCCCCCCCCCCCCAAAAAAAAAAAATAAATAAATAAATAAATAAAATTGAGAGAATCTCTCTGGGAAAGGATCCCACCATATTCCATGGGTCAGAAGGGTCATTTCACGATTTAATATCAGTATAGTGAAAACTATAATTACAGATGACAGCCGTGGCGTCAAATATGTTTACAAACATTTTTGTTTTCATGTCATATATTTAACATTGCAGAATTTTAATTTTCGAGTAGTGCACTACGAATTGAAAGAGGGTATGGAGGGGACTCCACACGTTCGAAAAAGGGATGAACACAAATTTTCGACTGACCGGAATGACCCCTCGCAGTCTTAGAGGCTGTAAAGAATAATAAGTGATAATATATCTCCAGTCCAAGAAAATATTCCTTCAGATGAAGCCTCTGTATTTCCTTATTCCGTTCTTCAGCTCATGAGCTCGGAGAATATTTTGATTTACGCTGACAGACAGAACAGCCATTATAAGTTAGCCGTAATTTGAGTTGCTAATGGCCGCTGTTTTACCTCCTCGCCCCATCCCATCCTCGACTTTTTACCATCCAAAACTCTCCCGTATTATTTTTTTGTCTAACCATTTTGAATGATATCCCTGGCAGAAAACCAATTTTTTTCATTGTGCTGGAATAATTATTTAAACTAACTTTGAAACTAACATTAAGGCAATAAAGCATTGGGAATTTTCTCTCCAATGTTTTTATGATGGAGTAATCAAGCTGTCCTTTGGTATTCTACCCGCGCGAGGAATATAGAACTCTTTAAGGAATGTTCAGGAAAAAGAGGAAGATTTCTAACTTTTTGCGCATTTTTGCGTTATATGAAGGTTTCCTACTTTTTGGCTTCGAATAAACGGCGCGGAACAGTTCAGCAAGTTTTTGTCATTTGATAATGAGAGAATCTTCTTTTCCTCTCACTAAAGATAAAGTCACTATTCCATGAAATCGAATATAAAATATCGATTTTTTTTTTAAATAATGCAAGGTAAAGTACAGCATGTCTTGAATGTATCAACAGTTGCTTATTCAACAATGCATGAAGAAGCTTTTCACAAAACGAATATACATATAAAGTGTTTGCCTTGTGTCACATTCGTAATTGCTTCTCTCGAAAGCAAATGACGAATTTACAATAAACGTCAAACTTATAAAAATCATGAAAATTGAAGTAAGGGCTTTTTGCCGCAAACTTCCCCAGACTTAGCCTCCATGCGAATAATTTCAACTCGAATTCTTCCGTAAACAGGAAAGCGCTTTTTAAGAGGGCAATATGTTGACCTGCGGGTTGATAATTGAAAATTGTAGACAAAAAAGACGAGGGGAAAATTGAGCGATCCTATTGGTTGAAACGGGTGGTTGACATAGACTAAAACGATGGACTAACTATAGGGTCTCTCGAGGGTTGCGGTTACAGTAAAGTCTATGTCTTACCTCCTTCGTTTATTGCAACCACCCACTTCTACCATTAGAGTCTCTCAATCATCTCGTTATACTCTATGTCTATCAATTTCAGTAATCAGCCCGCAACAGCACAGGGTGTACCATGGTTAAATGGCCGAACTGCGGGTTGATTATTAAAATCGATAGACAAAGAGGACAGAGACGAGATAATTCAGCGACCCTATTGGTAGAAGCGGGTGATTCTTACAGATAAAAATGACGGACCAATGGAGAATTTGCAGTCAAATTTGTATTGCTTTATCTGAAAGTGCTTCAATAGCTGATTTCGCAGTATTTTTTATAATTTTTTTCTGAAATGGGAAATAGGATCAAAAATACTTAAAAGTGAGAAACTGCACCGCCTAATGACGTCAACTGGCGGCAAAAACACGTATTTTAGCAGAATTGATCATTTTGTCTTATCTTCTCCAATAATTGATCAATTCATGAACCAAGGGCATCCTCGTATTCAGTTCGCTCAGTTTCCTCAAGTAGTAAGTTGAGGCCAAAATGGAGGGGATATCCCACGCTTTCCTAAGAGTCCACCTCTACATCAAGACGAACTCTCCATACAAAGATAGGGAGCAAATACATTAGCAGTGATGCCGTGTTTTCAGTTTTAGAGTCCCCAAATGAAATGGCAGCCCTGTCAATGTATTTGCTCCCCATCTTTGCATGGAGAGTTTGTTTTGATGTAGAGGTGGACTCTCAGGATAGCGTAGGATATCCCCCCCCCCCCCATTTTGGCCTCAACTTGAGAGCTCTTTTTGAGCCTGGGAGATGATTTCAAAGAGAACCAGTGGCACCATCGTGTTTCTCGCAATCTTTTACATAAGAATCAACAGTCAAATCGCAAATTCCTCACACATGCAACATCTCCATTGCCGTTAGTTAGTCTATTTGTTACGCCATGTGTCCATCGCAACCACCTGCCTCCATCAGTAGGATCACTCCATTTCTTCTTCGACAATCAATTTCAATTATGCGCTCGATGAATTGTTTCTTAAAGCTATTGATTTACCCATGGGAGACATGACAACATCGGAACGTGTGCCGTACCCAACCACGACGCAGTGCGCACGTTCGCGGCAACAGGCGCACACACGAAAGGTGCATTGGTGCGGCCCATTGTATAATAGCGTACAATTAAACCTGAATAATTACTACCAACCCCGTTTTTTTCCCCTGCAATCTCGGTGGCAACCGGTCCCGAAGCACGCGGCCGGCGCGGAGGGGGTCCGATTTGAATATGATTTACGCGCGCGATAAAAGGAGGCAGAAAAACAGGATTCGGATTTAGGGGTGAGTCGAGAGACACACGACCGCAAGGGGTAGCGCCGCGCCGCGTCGTCGCGGCCCGGTGCAACCGGTGGCGGACCCCGGTATAAAGCGCAGCTGCTGCCACGTTGCCATTTTATATTTGCACGCGAGGGGTGTTCACCCTCTTTTTCAGGTGCGTCGCTCTGGCTGGGGTGCCTATACCGCCGTGCTGAGGAAGAACGCCGTATGAACATTCGAGAGTCCCCGAATTTCCTTCGATAAAATGTTTTTTTTATGAGGAAAATTGGACCGCATTGAACAGAAAGGAACCAAGCCACATCAGCTATTGCCAAATTAAATTTGGCAATTCAATTTTTTACACGAAAACGGTTGTGCGGATTTTCCTGCAAATTTCAGCGAATGATCTCCATAGTACGAGGCAAATTGATTAAATTTTTCAAAAGAATCCACAGAACTGTTCTCTC